CGCGAGCAGCTGCTGGCGGCGAGCAGCGGCGCCTTGCGCGGCGTGCCGGTCTCGCACTTCGTGGGCATCGACGGCGTGCGCGCCTTCCTGCAGTCCTACTCGCACGAGGTGTCTCTCACGGCCGACTCTCGCAAGAGCCAGCTGCGCTTCTCGGGCGCCAGCTGCTGCGACACGCTCCCGGCCCGGCCGCTTCCCGACGAGCCCGCGCCGCTGCTCGGGGACGAGAATTCTGCCGGCGCTCCACCCGCGGACTCCGCCTCTGTCCCGGTGAGTTCGTCTGGCATGACAGCCTGCGCGGTGCTTTCTCTTCTGCTCTCCTGCTCTTTCTCCCGGTGTTCTGTGTTCTGTGTGCGGAGGTTTGCTGACAAGGAGAGCAGTGCTTCGTTCATTGACTCGCTGTGTTCTGATACCTCTTGCTGCCGGGAGGTGGAGGAGGGGTCTATGCTCAACCTTCAAGGTTTTTGGGGAGGCAGGTGTAATGAGGTTGATAGTGGCTGGCAGTTTGCGTGAGGCTTTGTGGTTTCATCAAGTACCGAGTTGTTTCTAGCCCTAACATTTGCGATACCCTCGTTCCTTTCCCTATTAGCTTTTCTGGACAGATACGTTGCATTATCAGTAAGACACAGTTTTTGTTCTTGGCTGGTTCAGGTGCTTAACTGGTGTGCAATTCTCTAGATTGTCATGTCAACAGCTCTGTGTGTAACTTTGTAATCTTCTCCGCCTTTGTGTGTGAGTAGGAGGTGTCTTTGCGTTCGTGTAACCGTGCAGGGGAATGGGCCGAGCCACAGTAGCTCCCTTGATAAAGTCTGTCTGCCAGTTATGAAAATGAAGGATCCTCTTGAAAGCCACCCACCAATGTGTGGCTGCATGTGGAGGAGGAAATACAGGAAGAAGAAATGACAGAGGTGTTTTGTTGATTTTTTTTGTCTTTTAAAGCTGAGCTATGTCAAGCTGAACTGGATGCACCTTGACTGCAAAAGAGATGCCATGGCAAGAGCCTTGGCGTGGGTACGAGGGCGAACATTCCAGATGCAGAGGGAGTCATAAGGCAAGGTTGATTGCCCCTGTGCAGACATTCAGTGACCCAGTCTCTCCTGGAGAACTGTGCCTCTTTTCATTTTCGAAGTCTGAGGTTTCTTCAGAGAAGGGCAGTGAGCAAAGAAATGCAACTCCCTTTCTTCACAGATGTGAAGGTATCTGTGTGAAGTTGGTTGTGTAAAGAGAAATGGTCTGAGAAACTGAGCGTTTTATGTCATGTGTATGTAAATTAGACGGGTCACAGACCACCCTGAACATCGCGAAAGATTGGAGATTTGATTGCAGGAGTTCTACATGACGATCTGTTGAGGGACAGCAGGGAATGCTTTTCTCCTTTATCTTTTCATTACCCACCTGTGGTATCATTTAATGCGATGTCCTCCTGCC